TTCAACTGCGTGAAACACACAGTAGTATGAAACTTCAACTGCGTGAAATACACAGCAGTATGAAAATTCGGCTGCGTGAAACACACAAACTTCACGCATGCGTGGAGTGTATGGAGTGTACGGGAGTGATTCACGCAATGGTGCGAATAGTCACGGCCGTGAAAATATTCCGTGTGTGATTGATTTTCCGTTGGTGCAGGGGCATTACTGGGCTCCGCTCGGTTGACAAACGAAAGTTCATTCTTCTGAGAGATGAGTTACATAAGGAGAACGCGTGCTAAATGAAAATTGTGATTCTTTTAACACCTACGGATTTAGTTATCTCATTAGTTCCAATTATCTGAGAATTTCATATTACTTAATTCCCTACTTGAGAGTGCTAGGGGGAATCGTCGAGTTGACGTCAATCAATTTTATGGGAGACTGCTGTCTGTTTTGGAAGGTGATTTTATCGTTCGGTTTTTTTTTCATTGTTAAGGATGTAGACAGTTTTCTGTGGGTCATGTCATAGGGAGAGAGAAATTAATTTCGGGATTTTCATTAGATTCGGCGAATTTTTGGGGAAAATAGTGAGAAGCTAATAGACTATTAGGCTAATAGTCTATTAGTTTCTCTGTTCGGTTTAGTTAATTCTCTGTTCTGTCAATCAATTTTATGGAGACTGCTGTCGGAATGTTTTGTAAGGTGATTTTATCGGTCGTTTTTTTTCAATAGTTTAGAATTATTACGAGTAATTACGAGGGAATTGTAGTAGTCTCAAAGTGAATTAAAATGAATTTCGGAAATTTTTGCAATTGATGAGCTAAGGATTTCAATACTTTTGTAATATTTTCACTTTTATATTGAAATTTTCGTTAGATTTGTTGAATTTTTTGCTAGAATTTTTGTGGAAAATTCAGAGAAGCTAATAGGCTACAGGAAGATCGAAAATTCTGGGGTTTTTAGCAGATTTTTTTCTCCGTTTGAGAATTTAAAATTTGTAATCACCATATTTGATCACTAAATTGCATTAGAGAAATTTTAAAAAATCGCCTTTTCAAAAATATTCATTTTTTATGAATAGGTAATAAAAATTATCCAACCTCTGGAAATTCTATTCTTTTTGGCGGTTTCAGGGAATTTCGTCGTTGAAAATTCACAATTTAATGACAATAACTATGATAACTGTAAATTTCAGTTCAAATAGTCCATGAAAACTAGTAGAAATCAGGAAAATTGTGCTAATTGACACTCAGTGTTCACGTTTTGATTGAAAATTCAAGCGAATTAGAGAATCCTTGTCCTCTTGCCGTTAAAAAAAAACAGAATTCCCTTGAATCTTCATTAAAATTCAAAATTTTATGATTGGTCCCCCCATTTCCCCCACTAGCCAGCGTAACTTTTCAAGTTTGAATATTATCAGTCGGCAAAATTCCACCCAGTCGAAGAGTTATCCTCCTCCTTTCACCCAGCGCAGTCTGTTGAATAGAAAGGAACTGGTCTCGCCTGAAAATCGGTACTCGCTCGATAAAATCGACACTACATTCAAAAATTCAAATTTCTGCGCATAAATGTTCAATCGCACACGAATTCCCCCGAATATTCTCCGTACCGCAGCAAAAAAAAAACGTTTTTCGATATCATCTGTGCAGAACCTTTCCTAATTTCCCCTTGAATTCCCCATCAATACCGTCATTACCGTCAATATTTGATTTTCCCACTCAAGCAATTTCCCCCCAATCCAAACATCGATGCTAAAAGCAACTCCAAGAGGATCCCAGAGTTCTAAAATTCAAAAAGATGACAAAACCTCCATTTATTTATGTTAATCCTCCCAGAAACTTTCTACGTGCGTACGTGAGTCTGCATCAAATCATCAGCGACTCGTCATTGACTTTTACTTTCCTCCCAAACTTTAATATCAATAATTTGCATAATTTCGTAATGCAACCTCATTAGAGTCTGACAATTGAATGAGCAAAGTCGGCTCCTCGAGCATTTCCCCCCCAAATACCTAGAGTAATAATGAAGTAATTGCAAGTTCAAAGAACTTGTTACAGATCTAGTACGCGAGTCAAGGTCCCCATTGCAACTCCAACCCCTCCTCGTAAATAGTTATACCCAGAAGACAGGTGAATGTTCAAAGCAAACCGTTGACTAGCACGTAGGCCACAAAATAGAGAAAGTGGAGGAGATTAAGTCAACTTGTGCGACCATGAAAGTTCAGAGAAACGACATAACACGAGTTTTTAAAATAATTTTTTCAAGATTGCAGGCAATTTGTTGCAATTAGCACGTTTAAAAACTAAATTCAGAGAATAATAATTCCGCTCATTACCCTCTTGCAGTATTTCTGAGGCGAATGAAGGATAGAAGAAGACGAGAGAGGACCCTATGTTCATGTCCCAACAGTCACTTTCATTAGAATATCTGACGCAATTGTATTTCAAATGATAAAACGAAATGACGAAATGATAAAACAAAATGATAAGAATGAGGAATTAACCGTGATGTTTAATTTCTTCACGTTGGCAATGAAAGGAGTTGTTGGCGTGGGGACTGACTATGGTTTCACTCCGGGCATTCACCAATGCGCCTCCAGACTCAGCACATCCAACTCTCTATGAATTACTCCAATTTCTTGATAATCGAGTCGTTTAAAAAGTGTTAATCGACTGGTGAAAAATCCTCATCTCTTTGTTTGTGGATAATACCTGTGTATGAACTACGTCACGTGCTCCTACCGCCCAGAGAGAATAAGAAAACAGCAATTGTACGTGAGTTCAATGTCTAGACATTATGCGATGATTTTTAACGTAAACATTACGATTACTCAACGGCAATATAAATCTCATTAATGCAATTCTTCCCTGGTTGTTTTATCCCAAGATGCTTTCCTGTCTTGTGAATGTTCTCTGTGGAATTAATGAAATTATGTGTTCAAAAGTATTGGAGACGGCCTACTTTCTCTGCACATCTCTTACTCGGGAATGGAATTCGACTTCTGTCAAAAACTAGATAATCATGTTGAATTATTTCTTCATTTTTCAGATCGATTGGGTTTTTCATTTTCGTTAATTCGATGAATCATCCTGTGGAAAGGATTGGAAAGGTGGCCCAATGGAATTGATAAGCTTGGCTGGCACAAGTTCCTTCTTTGGATGGGGTATAATTCCACTGCTTGCTGTTGGACTGACTTTTTATCAGTATAATAATGCCGATCCTGAATCACATCCCAGAAATGCTCAAGAGGTGAAAAAATAATTAATACTTTTTTAAAAGATTATAGGGAGAAGGTCTTTTAAAAATTACCCCTCGTAATTTTTTACCGAAATTATAGAGCTTGTGCCGAATTTAAACTGAACTTCGTGCGATTTTTCCTAATTTTAATAATTACGATTGTTCTTTCATTGTTAATTTTCATTTTTTTTTCAATAATTCTTTGATTTAGTCAATTCACCATAATTTTATTTTTGTAAAAAATCGTTTAGAAAAAAAACAATTTTCAGAAGATTTGTCTCTCCATTTGGATTAGTAGAATCGTTAAAATGAAGGGTGTTATCTCATATTGTAACAATTCAATTCAGCTTCTGCGAATGTACGACTTCATCGTTGTAGGCGGTGGAAGTGCAGGAGCTGTCGTAGCATCGCGATTATCTGAGATATCAAACTGGACAGTTCTACTGCTGGAGGCTGGAGGGGATGAGAACGAGATATCCGATGTGCCTGCGTTAGCCGGATATACGCAACTGTCGGAGATTGACTGGAAATACCAAACTGCACCGCCAAGTGCTTCTGCTTATTGTTTAGCCATGACCGGTGACAGGTGCAATTGGCCGAGGGGAAAGGTCCTTGGAGGTAGCAGTGTTCTAAATTCAATGATATACGTTCGTGGAAACAGGTAATTTCAGATGACAATGGATTTTAATTGGAAATATTATTCTCCATGTGATGGAATGAAAAAAACGGGAATTTAATCCCAATTTGAAAAAAAAATGATTAACTGTTTCCGCTAAAAGTTTCGGAGATGTTCCAAAAATTGATTCCACCGGAGAAAAATTTCTCGTGGAGATTTTAGAAACTACTACTGCGCAACAGGTGGTTCTTGTCAATCTAAAATGACATTTCATCACATTTACGATCGATCCACTCTCTATTTTGATACATTCGGAAACAGAAGGAATTATTCTCAAGTTTTAAACAATATTTTGGATATCAAAATGCAGGAGGGAAATTGTTAAAATAATTCAACTGCTAAAGTCGCATGATTTTTTTTCAAACTTGAATAGTTCCAAAATTATGAGGAAATCATGAGGAAAAAAATCGAATTTCATGAACAGTTTATCAGTGATTTTTCGGAGAGTGACATTAAATTCAATTTGAGGGAAAAAATCATGAAATTCCAAATTCCACTGAAAATAAAAAAAAAAACGATTTTTTTATTACAGAAGAATGAGAATTCCTCAACTTACTATAATGTTCAATCAACAAATGAATGAATGGTTAATGAATTAAAATTTAGTCATTCATTTACCTGAATTCTTATCATGTCCATTAATTTTAACGGAATAGTCAAATTGAACTCCACTTTCCATTGCTTTTTCTCTAAACTTTTGAATTTTCATTCCCCACATCCCTGGTCATTTCAATGAAACCCTAAAGTGCTAAAAAAATCCACGAGCCATACCGAAAATTTGCTCCCGAAAATACTGACCCAAATGTACCCGAAAAATTTCAGACACGACTTTGATCATTGGGAGAGCTTGGGCAACCCCGGCTGGAGCTACCGCGACGTTCTCCCCTACTTCATCAAGTCCGAGGACAACAGAAACCCATACCTAGCGCGAAGTCCCTACCACGGAACAGGAGGCTTGCTGTCAGTGCAAGAAGCTCCCTGGCGCACGCCATTGGCCCTGGCATTCATGCAAGCAGGCAATGAACTAGGCTACACCAACCGTGACATTAACGGTGCCAACCAGACGGGCTTCATGCTATCGCAATTGACAGTGAGACGAGGAAGCCGATGCTCCACAGCCAAAGCGTTCTTGCGTCCCGTCAGGAACCGAAAGAACCTGCACATTGCCATGTTCGCACAAGCCACGCAAATCCTCTTCAACCCAGACAAGCGAGCGATAGGCGTTGAATTCATGAGGAACGGGCGTAAACAAGTGGCTCACGTCAGACGCGAAATTGTCCTGTCAGCTGGATCCATCGCATCCCCCCAGCTGCTGATGGTCTCCGGAATCGGACCTCGCGAGCATCTCCAGGAATTCGACATTCCCGTTCTGTCTGATTTACGAGTTGGTGACAATTTACAGGATCACGTGGGCCTGGGAGGTCTGACTTTCCTCATTGATGAGCCCGTCACCTTTAAAAAATCAAGATTCCAGACATTCCCAGTCGCCATTGAGTACATAATCAACGAGAGAGGACCTATGACGACACCGGGAGTCGAGGGATTGGCATTTGTGAATTCAAAGTATGCAGACACCACGATCGATTGGCCGGACGTGCAGTTTCACTTCGCTCCAAGTTCCATCAGTTCTGATGGTGGGGATATCATACGCAAGATCACGGGTCTGCGGGACAGTGTCTATAACACGATGTACAAGCCGTTGATTAAGGCTGAAGCCTGGTCAATACTTCCGTTGTTATTGAGACCAAAGAGTTCTGGATGGATTAGGCTCAAGAGTAAAGATCCCTTCGTCTACCCGGAGATCAATCCCAACTACTTCACTCATAAAGAGGATGTGGATGTCTTGGTTGATGCCATTAGGATTGCTATGGAAGTGTCCAATACGACGGCATTTCAGAGATTTGGCTCAAGACCGCTGACCATTCCCATGCCAGGATGTCAGAAGTTCCTTTTTGATACTTATGATTACTGGGAGTGCGCTATAAGACACTTCACTTTCACTATTTATCATCCAACTGGTACCTGCAAGATGGGACCAGTGTCGGATTCTACGGCTGTTGTTGACACTAGGTTGAGGGTCTACGGGGTCAAGGGGCTCAGAGTTGCAGATGCATCGATAATGCCGACTATTGTTAATGGCAATCCCAATGCTGCTGTCATAATGATCGGGGAAAAAGCCAGCGATATGATCAAAGAGGACTGGCTTAGGCGGAGACGTCCACCTGGGAGATGACAATAACGAGAGAATTTTATATCGCCATTACTATGTTGATTTACTCAGGGGATTGGTTGAGAGAATGTGTTTTGAGATCGTTTGACAGAAACCAATCAGTTTTAAGAGCAGAAATCAAACTCCTCCTTTTGTATTTTTCTATGTTTTTTTTATTATCATGTTTAAAAATTGTTGAATTTTTGCAATAAATTTTATTTATTTACACCACTAGCTCTCCAATTAATTTGTGAAAACCATTGGGTGGTTTGAATGACAATAAGCGTCATTCAAACCATATTTTGCGGAGAATCATATTTTTTTAAAGATTCACATTATTATAAATAAATAGCGGTAACTAATTCAACTCGGGAAAATCTCATTTTTTTTCTGAAATTGATTTCTAGTATAATTTATCAAGTGAGCTAATTTGTTTTGATTTAGGCAATGATTTTCAAGCCGAAGATTGGGTGTTAATTAGTTATTCATGAAACCAGATCAAAATCTCCGAACATTTCCATTTTTCATATTTTTTCACATTACATAACGATTCAAAGTAGATAATCAAATTCAAACCTTCAAAGTTTGAATAATAAAACTATTACGAAGTGTTCGGTAGCCCAGGGGAAACTCGATCTAAAATGAAAGCTAGACTGTTCCTATAAAAAAACAAATAACCAAAACACTTGCTTATCCTTCATGTTTAATGATGACGTCTAAATCCGTTCCGTTATCCCATTGCCATTGCCGCAAAGAGCTGTAGAAAGCCCATGCCTAGCCACTTAATTAACTCAACTCCGTGCATATGGAATGAACACATGTGAACATGTAACGTAACAACGTCGACATATCTCATTGCACTTATCCCGCTTCCGTACTTCCGTTGTGGTGAAGATGACAGATTCATGATTTGACTTTTGCGAATATAATTCATGGGAGTTTTCCGGAGGGATCATTAGAGGACTAGAAAGTTCATTAGACGGTTGAATGTTGATAGGTGTGCGCGATAGTTTAACATTGGACATTTGTGTCGTGATGATTGCTAGAATTGAACAATTGTTTGCAGATTTAAAGTAAGGGAGAGTGGGGTAAAATGGTCCCTTTTGACTTTTCTTGTGATACTCATAACTCAGAAACAAATTCATTAATTGAGATCAGTCTAGGCTCATTCTAAAGGGGCGCAAGTGTAGTTTCAATGGAAAACAAATTATTTCATTTCATTTAAAATTGAATGAGCTGCCAACATTTTTGAAAAAATCCAAAGGGGCCGTTTTACCCCACTCTTCCCTAGTATATGTATAACTTAAACTTTGAAGATGAGAATCTGAAATAAATTTTACACTGAAGTTTCTATGAATAACAACATTCTTGTTGAGTTCGTGCTCAATTGTCAATCTAGTATTATTAATAATAATTAATTCAGAACTGGCAAAATAACGCAGTCTTACATTAAGAGAAACATCCACATCCTCAAGAGATGAGATGTTTGGCGCAAGAAATTAGTTTTGTGATATTATGACGATTTTCTCTCGGTGTATGAGAAAATTGATTGTTCGAGATTAGAAAGAAGATTAAAAAGTAGAAAAAAAGCACAAAAATTAGATGAAACCCGAGTCGAGGATTTGGTTCTAATTGGACGTACACAGGTCTTTCAAGATCTCTCCAGACCTAGATGGACCTGGTAAGTCCTAATCAGTTCTGCGACGTACTTTTGCAGAGACCTTTCGAATCCTCAGTTCTTTTCGGTCCTGAGAAGTCCTCCTCGATGCTACCGAGAACGCGTGATTTTACGAGCGGGTGAAGGGGAAGTTGAAATTTGTAGCCAACGAGGAGACAGGGTTGCAGAATATATTTTAGCCACCCTCATCTCCCCGTTTCCAAGCGGTGTTTAAATAAAAAATAGTGAACGTTGATTCGGTATTTATTGATCCCCTGATGCCAATGAAACCCTCGGAGGTGACAGAAAAGGGGAAAACATTTTTTCATTTTCATGTGGGTCAAGGGTGAAAGTCGATTTTCGCCAAAACAGAATTTTTTCGCCAAGTGGGAGTTGATTCTGTATTTTCTAACAATTCTGATGCCAATGAAACCCCCGAAGACGCGACAAAAGTCGAAATAATTTTTTTTTTTTCACCCCGACCCAAAGAGTCAGATTTTCTGTGTTTCCAGAGGGAAAGTCGACTTTCGCCAAAATTGAATTTTTTAGCCGGGTGAGCGTTGATTCCAACTATTTAAGCGCCGGGCTAGTCAGAACTATCAAAAGTATGTGGAAAAAATGAAAAATGAAAAAAATTTTTTAGAATTACGGGGACCGACAAGGATTTGGAAAGTCTGAATACAAGTCCTGCTTACACCTAACAAGTGCTGAAATGGGACATAACGAGAGGTAGAAAGGTCTCGGAAGCACTTGGGAAGAGGCTTCCCAAGACCTATCCAGTTCTGAACGGAAAGACCCAAGTAGAACTTGTCAGGTCCAATTATTCGACTCGGGAAATAAGTGTTATGCCTGATACGAAAATTATCGTCAGTGCCAAATTTTTATGATAAATAATTCATGTTTCTGGGTACCTCGAATGTGTACAGGATGCCCTAGTCAAACGAGCAACTGTTGTTTAAGAAAATAATCGTAAAGAATATATGATGGATTAAAATTTTTACTCTCGTCAAAGTTAGAATTTACGTAAGAAATTATCAATGATGAATCTTTTTTTTTCGGGCGTGTTAAATTTATTTTTTCTCGCTACATCAACGAATTATATAGAGTTTGAATATACTTCTTCAAATTCGATTCTGACCGGTGTTTTGCATGAGTTCAATACACACAAACTTGAGATTCTCAATGGGTATCTCTCGAGATCCCTCACCGGTGTTTGTACTCGAACCGGTTGACACACAATATTACGTTTGCGAGAGTATGTCCAACCGGAAGATACATTTTCGAAATATCTTGACCTAAATTTCCACAATTTCCCCACAACTATTCAACATTGTTTTGAGTAATTTCAAACTGGAACTATCCTCTGAGAGGCCTTGCCAACAAGGTCACCCGTTCTTGGAAGGGTTCCCAGCAGAAAAAAAGTTCATCTCACAATTACAAGATGAATGTTACGTAACGGGGCGAGATGATACGAATGTAATACGATCCACGCGAAGAATCCACTTTTTATATTGCCAAATACTTTCTCCCATCATGCGTGAAGGTTTAAAAAAGTGAGTGGATTTTTTTTTTTATTGAATACGTGTATGTTTCATCCATCGCATTCTAGAGTAGTAGGTGTGTAATTTTTACAATTCAACAGTGAAAGTTTATATGATTATCGTTCCACCCAGTGGCGATGAAGATCGTGTTTGAATTGGCCTTGCACTAGGAAGTAAAATCGTTCATATTGATATTGAAAGTGCAGGAGAGAAGTTTTGGAGCGTGGGAATGATCGGGTATAATCACTTGGAACAATGTGAAGATAATGGCAACACCATCTAAACGGGAGCAATAATTTTTCATTTTTCGCTGCATAAAAACGGGAAATTTGGAATATGAATTTTCCTTCCATTTTTGAATGTTGGAATAACAGTTGGGTAAATTCGATTTTGGCACAAGTCGACTTTCCCCCTGGAAAAACCGAAAATCTGATCCTTTGGCTCCGGGTGAAAAAAAAATTTCTTCAGTTTCCACTTTTTCCACATACTTTTGAGAGTTCTGAATAGCCCGTCGCTTAAATAGTTGGAATCAACGTTCACCCGGCTGAAATCAATTTCTTTTTCTGTAATTGATTATTGTTCTTGAGTTTCCCGAAGGTTTAAAGATCCCCAATTGGAAGAAAATTGAAATTTCATGGACAGTTTAGTAAAAATTCGTCGCAGAGCGACTTTGAACTCAATGCTAACTGTCACTAACAGTTTTTGACAGTTAGAACAGAATAAAGAGGATACTTCTGCACTAACAATCGGGTAAATTGAATAATTACCACTAATGGATCACCTATGCGGGTGAAATTTTCCATTTCCCTCATCATCTAATTCACCAATAATCTCACTTGTGAATCTAGAACGCGTTATTGATTATTTTCACCAAGTTTCCTCAAGTCCCGAGCGTACTACCCCCATACTACTGGGCACGACGGGTAGATAAGCCTTTATTTCTGCCACAACTGTGGGGGAGCTGTTGAACGCAAACAAAAGGCGTGCTGAGTGCATAAAAATAGGCACCCCACTATTTCCGAGAGAACCAATGACCTCTGGTTCACAATAGAACAGTCTATTAAGGATAGATCAATCCTGAGGAATTGTTTATTTGATAGAATTACAACGAAGTTGATAATTAACAGTTGATAAAAAAATTAATTAATTATGATCAACTCGAGGGAATTATAATTTATTTTTTTTATTCGAGGGAATTATTTTCAAAATTATGGATTCTTGTCCGAAGAATTTTCCAATTCGCTTTCTAAAAAATGCGAAAAATCGTGTCAAATTTTATTTTTCATTCTAAAGACCTGCTATTCGTTACCATTTTCCCCACGTTGTTTACGCCTCCATAAACAGCAATCAGTAACTCAAATAAGTCATCAAATACGCCAACCGCGGCATTCAATCAGTGCAATTGCGCTTAATGAATCTAAATATTGAATTATAGTCAAGAAGGTGCGGTGATACTATGACTGTGAACACGTACACACAGGAGATATACAAGATTGTCGATGGTGACGGGGTGTTACCACATCGTTTCGTCTACACTGGTGACTCCAGGATAGAAAGAGAGTGGGCAAGAGGTATGGACTACCTGGTAGGCACTGGTGGGTTTGTACAGGAAGAGGCCACTTTCACTACCAATGCAGAGAGTCTTCGGTAAAGACGCTAAATTCACCAGTGCCTGTATGGTTACATTTTGGGGTACAGGGGGGGTACTATTATCAGCTGCACCACCTATTACCGTCACAGTATCAGACTTGGCTCTGACAACTGCTGTACAACTTGAAACTTGTTGGGAGTATGTGAGGGGGACTGAAGGTACCACGAGTAATCAAAGTGCTGTGATTATTTATGGATCATCCATAACAGAAGCTGCTGAAGTGCTGTCAAATTTTATTAACAAGTGACGTTCACCTAGTGAATTATCAACGATA